CGAGTCGCATATTGGGTGCGCTGCATCCTGTTAAGGGTGTGCGGCATCTTGTGCTTACTTCCTTGCATACGGATGACAGCTGCGTATGACTTAATTTATTTTCTGGTGCTTTCACTTCCAGAGACAGTTGTAAGCACTGTGTAACTGCCTCGAGGGTGCTTGACCATTTTAACACAACGTGGTGCGATCATCCCCCTTCCGCGGAGTGAGGGTTCTCCACCCCGCACAACATGATCTCGACCGTCATCATGGTTACCGCCAAAAAAAAAACGGAGGTAAAAAAAAAACGGTAACCTGGTTGCCGAGTTCACGAAATGAATTGGCTTGTTATACAACGTCGTTGCCAAGCGACGAAAACCCAACCCCGATGGCAAACACCGGGGGGGGGAATGTTACCAGGAAGCGTGAAAACGGTATCTTGCAGCACTGCACCAATCATGTGTTTTCTCTGTTCCGCAACGTTCCACGTGACCTCGTGCGATCGCCACACGATCCGCACCCGATACCAACCTGCTGAACCTTATCCTCCTGTGCTAAGCCAGCACCACTACCACAAACCATGAAACGCTTGCTCTTCCCGCCCACACCTGTGCTACGAAGGCATGTCAATGGACGTCAAGACCACCACGCGCGACATGACTGTACAGCTCCACCTGGATGCCGTGACGGTTGAGGACAGGGCTCGGCCGGACGACTCTCCGTTCAGGTACATGATCCACTCTACACCGGACGAGACGTCTCACGGCGGTCTGATACATATCACGTATTGGACCTCCGCGGGAGGGGTGGCCCTCGTGCCGCCGGCGTCGATCGCGGACACGAACCAAAAGGAGTACGACATGGTCGTGGATGCTCAGTTCAGCACGCTACAGGTGCGCGTTATGTAGAAAGGAAGGGAGGACTACGAAACAACGCTTCCTGTCTCTGCCGGGCCCCCACGAAGCACGGCGCTTTCATGAAGCTCCGGTCTAGAAGGTGGTGACCTGTGGCGGGTAACCCACATTATTTGGCAAATGGAATCAGCGTCCATGGAAATTGACTCCCATGGAAGTTGGATGGCTTCCATGGTATTTGTGGGAGCTCTTTTTCTCCCCCTCTCAGTCAACAGGCCCCGGAACTCACACTTGCGCCTGCTGCTGTTGTTCGAACATGCACAACGACGCGGGCAGAGGAGCAGTTAAGTAGGCGCAAAAAAAAGAATATGCATCATCCGTGAATCGAACACGGGTCGCGTGAATGGCAATCACGCATTCTACCACTGAACCAATGATGCTACTGTACCTTTTGGTGACAATGTTGCGATTCTAAAAACTGTTTTGATTAATCTCTTTACCTGGCCAGTGTTCAGTAATATTTCGGGGTTAGACCCAGCGCCGTATGCCTGTATCACACTTCGTCTAATCACTTGGGGTATCGTAGAGTATTTACCGGTGCCACTACCGTATGCTGCCATTATGTAACTGGGGATGATTTTTTCCTTATTTGTTCCTTTGCGCGCGCCAAACTCATCGTCTCTGTAGATGGCACTCGACAGGGAATCTGTCGTCAAGGCCACCCCGTTCTACAAGTCCGTGACGAGGCAGGACGGGAACCAAGACCAGGCCGTTGCGGCGGGGACGGCGGGCGGTGGTGGTGGCGGGCGTTCCAAGAAGCCGAAGAGCCGGATAGATGACGCCAGCTCTGTCTTGTCGGCAGGCTCTCGGGTTGTCGGCGTAGCCAAGCGCATCGCGTCGAAAGACTCCGGGCAGAAGGCCATGCTGGCCAAGGCTTCGCTCACCTCCGTCCAATTCGAGCTCGTGCGATCGAACCCTTGGGAGACCGTGATGCGGGCGGGTATCTCGGGCCTGAACGCGAGCTTCAGTGCCAACGAGGAAGGGGGGCGCGCTATGAACGCAGCGGTGACCCTCACCGACATCCTTCTCACGGACGTCCGCCGTGAAGCGAAGGACAACGCATACAAGATGATTCTTGCACCCTTGGTAGCGCTGCCGACAGAATCAGCGGCAACGGTTTCTCAGGATGAAGAAGGAGGCGACAGCGGAGACACCCCCGGAAAACGGGTAAGAAGCGAGAAATCTAGCTCGGCCGAGGCCGATGTCGGCGAGGGTGGTGAGGATAGCGCCGAGAGAGGCCCTCTGATCGCCGTAACGGCGCAGATGGACGGCGACAGCGGGAACATGGATGCGGAGGTTAAACTTGCGAGCTTCGCGTGCAACCTCATGGTGGAGCCCATCAAGGAATCCCTGGTGGTGATGAACGAGGTTAATGCGGCCCTGATGAAAATGTTCGCAAGCAAGGCGAAGAGCGGCGGCAATGAGAATGCTGCTGGCGAGAGAGGAGCACTAGAGGGCGGCGCAAGCGGCCCAGATTCTACTCGGAGGCTTGATGCGGTGGACGAAGAAGGAGAATACGAATCTGAGGTGCGTATGAAACGGGATGCCGGTACGATGCGAATACAAACGCGATAGTATTTCATTGACAGTCGTCTCCGAGAATAAGCCGTTGACTCACCCCACCTACTGTTGCGATGGTTGAAGCCTATTTTTGGGGCGAAAAGCAACGACGGTAGTTGGTGCTACGCCAGCGAGAGCCGTGCAAGAAGCACCGTGGTTCAACAGCCTTGCAAAAGCCCTTACATGCCCACCTTCCTTTCGGAACAGATCGCGTCTGCAGCAGCAGACAGCAGTGCTTCAGCAAGGGAGCGGGAGGAGGGAAAAGCTCCTGGATTTGGCTCGCCTACAGACGTTTCCCCTGGCTACCACGGTGACGCTGATAAGACGGGAGGAGGCGAGGCACGGGGAGAAAAGGAGTCGGAGGCGGTGGCGTTGTCGTCGTCGATTTGCGCGCGTTTGGAGCTGGACGACTGGAGGATCAATCTCATCGAGGAGCCTTCTAAGGCGAGCAGCAAGGTCGTCGTGCTCCGCGCAAGCTTGATGGCGTTATTCACGCGCTCGGTCACCTCGGGGGAAGGAGGGGACAGCACGGAAGACACGCTTCACTTGTCGCTCTTGAAGACCGAGTCTCTGGTCGACAACCCTGCCGTGTCCAGCGGCGGCGTCGTGGGTGCCGACAGGAGGATCAGCCAAGTGCTAGAGCCCTTTTCCGCAGAAGCGCACGCCACGCTTTTGTCCGCACGAGGATCACTGCTCTCGGCGAAACTGCACATGATGGCCGAGGCTTTGGACGCCCGGCTTTCGTACACAGATATGATGCTGATCAAGGGAATAGCGGACCAAGCGACTGCTGCTTCTGATCAGGCGGCTTCTGCATCAAAGGCTGGTACCGATGGTGCTGGTGAGGACGGGGAAATTGGCAACAGAATCAGCATTTTGCCTGAGACCTACGAAAACGCAAGCGATCCGCTGGCTGAGACGAAGGAAGATGCGCGCGCCGCGGCTGTGAGGGCGGCGGGGAAGGCCGGCATGCAGCCATCCACCATGGCCGCGGTGTCGCTGTCCGCTACCTGCTTGATGGCCAGGGTGGTGCTCGTGAACGACTACGAGGGGCAGGGTGTACCCGTGCTTAGCTTCTCATCGCGGCGGCTGAATGCGGAAGGGAGTGGGTTCAAGGAAGACTTCTCCGTTGAGCTCGGAGGAGTCATGGAAGTGTCGTTCTTCAACGTTAGGGTGGTGAGATGGGAGCCCCTGTGCGAGCCGTGGCAGCCGGTGCTGACCGCCGCAGTGGGGATGGACTTCCTGGGGAGGCAGACCGTCCAGATCAAGCTCGCGTGTGAAGAGGTGGTGGTGTTCGACGTTACGGCAGACTTTATGGAATCTTTCCTGTCCACTTCGTGGATGCTCTTCAGCGACGGGGGCGAGAAAGACGACCCCCTGGCGCTCTTGCCGGAGGGAACCGAAGTCGGCGTCGATGGAGAAGATGAAGATACCGGCGTGGAAGGGGTGTCAACGGGAGAAGCTTCGGGGTCGACTCCCTCTTCGCCCAACCTGTCGAAACCGAAGCAAGTGGAGTGGGCGGAGGGTGCTATGCCCCTCGAGGGGCTCAAGGAAGGCAACGTAACGCTGAGGAACAGAACGGGGCTCGAACTCGCAGTGGGCACCACAGATTTCCCTCAGAAGTCGCTCAGGATGGGGGGCATCGACACCGTCAGGCTCCCTTTCGACACGCAACGCAATCGTGCCCGTGCTGGACAGTTCGACCTTCGCGGGAAGGCAGCGTTGGTAGAATGGGGAAACGAGGACATGCGGAGCGCCAGGGAGGGGTTGCCGCCCCTACAGGTGGACCGCACTGGCGTGTTCGTGTTTCCGCTCTCTCCGACTAACTCCGTGCCATCTGGCCACGTCGTGTCGCCCCCCGTTGTGGTGGAGGCGTATCAGAACCAGCGGTTTAACATGATTACCAGGAGGTGGTCGGCGCCGTACTTGCCCGGAGATGGACCAGAGTTCGCGTCAAAGGATTGGCGCAACGCCTACTCCAGCGAGGATTCCCAAGAGACTCCCCTGGATTCTATCGCTCTACCCGACGAGAAGCAGTGGGAGTGGAGGGACGACTGGCACGTGGACTTCTCCAGGGAGGTTGGCACGGAGATTGACGCCGCCGGGTGGGAGTACGCCGTCGAGTTCGGGTCGTTCAACCTCATCGCCAGCAGCCGCACCCGGAGAGATCTGGACCAGGCGCGAAGACGCAAGTGGATTCGTACCCGCGCGCCCAAGCCTCTCCCCATGGATGACCCGTTCCGCCCGCTGTACCTCGCCTGGGCAGTCGACGTCACGCCGCAGGGCCGCCTCGAAGCAACGATCCGCTCCACTGTCCAACTGACGAACAGCACCGGCGTGCCCTTGGACATGAGGGCTCTGTGCTCAGCGTGGAAGATGGAGGAAGACAGCGACGGGGGCGTATCTTCGCCTGGCTCGCCGTCTTTCGCCAAGGGTCTCGGCAGGCGTTCTCTGGGCTCCATCGCTCCTGGGTGTACGCTGGACGTGCCCGTCAAGATGGTGTACGCGAGCCACCTGCAGCTTCGGCCGGTACCATCTTCCGACGTTTTGACTTCCATCTCCGCTGGAGGCGGTACAGGTGAGAACGACGTACAGGATAACGAGAGAACCTTCGAGTGGAGTGCTCCGCTGCCCCTGCTCGCGAACAACGTAGACACCTCTCGCGACGACTGGGTGTCATGCCGAGAAGTGGTGGTTGGCGAGGGCGAAAGACAGGGAGCTCCGACGTTGGCCACCATCAGGCTCGTCGTGCACGCCGAGACCACGGCAGAGGGCTGTGTTGTCATGAGCATCCTACCTCCCGTTACCGTGGTGAATGCCCTCCCTTGCTCCCTGAGCTTCCGCGCATTGTTGCCATCGGGGTCGGCGGCGGGGAAAGAGGGGTCGTCTTCGGGCACGGCCCCGGCACACTCGTCGAGATCGAGGACGCTGGAAGCGGGCAGGATTCCAACCGCGGAAACGGCTTACCTGCATACCCTCGAAGTCGGCGACGGCGCCAAGTTTGGCATCAAGATCGCGCACCACAAGTGGAGCAACGCAGAGTCTCTACTGCCCCGAACACGAGAGGAGCTGCGGGCGGGAAGCTGGGCCAACCGCGTCGTAACGTTCAAGCTTCTGTGCTCGCGCGGCAGTGATGGTGGCGGTGGCGGTGACGGTGGAGGCAAGGATGAATACCTCGAAGTCCGGTGCAATTTTGAACCGCGAGTTGGGGCAGCATGCCCGGCGCTGCGCCTTTACGTGTTCTGCACCCACTGGCTCGTGGACCGGTCGGGTCTTCGGCTCGGGTTTGGGGTTTCGGAGAAACGGAGGCTTCCGGTGCCGGTGGTGCGGAGTAAAGCGGCACTTGGCCATGGCGAAGAAGGAAGCGAAGCCAGCGACACGGGCGAGGTGCAGCCACCGCTCCATGTCCACGTTTCCCCCGTGGAACAATTGTCCTGTGTCAGCACCAAGGGTTGTGTCGTGGCTACCGCAACGGTCGGTAGCCTCCTCTACTCCGACCGCGAATACGTGTTCAAGAAGAACTCGCTGCCGCCCGCATTCCGCGGAGCAACCATGATCCGTACCGCCTGCGCCGAGAAGTGCAACGGCAGCCAACACTTCCTCAGGTTCAGGGTGGCGGAGGCCTCGACGGTGCACGTGCTGTTCGATCGCCGTTGCCCTTCCCCCCCGCGCTGGCTGACGTCCAGGTTCCGCCTTACTGCCGAGCGCGTGGACATGTCTCAAAGGACAAGGAAAGGTAAGGTTGCGGATTGTCCCTTGGTGGTGTGGAGCCGCAACGTGCCCGCGGGTTCCTGGGTCAACCTCGGCGGGAACAAGGCTAGCAAGGCGGACGCCATGTACCTGGTAATCGTCACGGAGGAGGAAGTAGCCGTCTCCACCGAGGCCGTCGCAGCATCAGGGTCATCCGCCTCCAGCGGCATCAATCGCAAGATCAGCAGCCGGGAGGATCTCTTGGAGTCGTGGACTCTCGGCACCGAGGGCCTCGCGCTCTGTAACTCTCCGAAGGAGCGGGTGCGGGTGGCGGTACCTGAAGGCGCGGGGCGCGGCATCGACAGCGAGGGCGGAGGCTATGGCGACGACGGTTTTGGAAGCTTCATGCGGGACGCGTGGTCGGACGAGCTCGATGTTCCCGCCGGCGCAAACGGAGTGTTCCAAGTCAAGGGCACCCAGGGAGAGATTTTCGAGCTAGCGCTCCGGGCGGAGGTGTGTCCAGGCACTTTCGGCCGCACCACCCAAGTCACCGTGATCCCCCGCTACTGCGTGGTGAACCTTCTAAGGGACGATAATATCTGGCTCAAGGAAGCCGGGGCGCCGGAGGCCAGCGCCGTTTGCATCCCACCTGGCGGACGGCTCCCGTGGCACTGGATGCTCGGGAAGAACAAGCAGTCCGGCGTAAGGGTTCGAACGGAGGGCACGGCCTGGAGCTACGGCGACGTGGTCATGAACCGCGTCGGCACTACGGCCCTGCACATCCCTTTCTTCGGCGAGGATGAGGATCTCGACGGACAGTACAGGGGACAAGCCGGCGGGCCCCCGATGAAGATGCCGGAGACGTTTGGCGGGTCCAGCAGCGGCGGGACAAGCGGGAGTGGCGGGGGCAAGGGCGGAGGCCCGACGCGACTCGACAAGCTCGACGGAGAGCAGACGGTGGTGCACGTGGACGTGCAGCTCGCCGACAAGACCTTCGTCGACGAGTACGCTGTGCTCGTGGTTTTCTGGAAGGCCAACGAGCGGTTCGCCCCCATCTACTCCGCCCGCAACGCGAGCCCGGTCGCGGTGCGTCTCCACCAGGCCGGCGCCAACCGCGAGCAGCGGCAGATCCTGAGTGAGAAGGCCATGTGGAAGCTCTCTTCGGGACAGAGGCGCCAGGTAGGGTGGGCCTACCCAGCCTCGCCGCGCTCTCTGCTCATTTCTGCGGGTAGAGGAACTCGCGCCGTCGAGCTGAGCACCGACACCGTAGGCAACTACGCCAAGATCCCCACCGGCCTAACCAGGGGTGCCTCCGGCTCTGCCGCCGCCACCTCCGGCGGCGCCGCTTCTGGCCGTAGCGCAAGCACTGGTGACACGGGCCCGCCCTTTGTCTGGGCAAGTGTTGTCGTCAAGGGCGCCACCAAGGTCGTTCACATTTCGCCAAGGCCTCCCCACGGTAGCGGGGCCAGGAAAGGGGGTGGTAGCGGTGAAGGCGACGGGAAGCAGCCGGACCAAAACCTCGAGAAGGAGGCCGCGAACAAGCGCAAGCGCGAGAGCGAGGCCCCGGCGCTGGAGCTTGCCGTCGACATGCGAGGGTTCGGGTTGAGCCTGATCGGACCGGTCAACGGTCGCCGCCAAGAGCTGATTTATGCGCAGGTGTGACGGCAGTGGTGTTGTTTTTTCTTATGGAATATTGTTGATCATATTTTCCAGACACACCCCTACTTTCGAATCAACGAACAAAACGAACAGGGGTGTGCGTGGGATGCACTTGGTGGGTGCCCCTATTCTCCTGCGCGTTACCACCTTCTCTCTCCCGGCCTTCAAACGCAAACCCCTAGCCACCATTTACACATACCCGCTTCCCGTCTCTGCGGCAAGGTGCGAGCCGTTGACGGCTGTGGTGCCCCCTTGTTCATAGGGTGCTGGGTCCTTTCTTGCTGCCGCATTCAGTGTGGCGTTCGTCCTGCACCCACTCATTTTCGCATGCGTTACGATGCCGTTTGTTTTGGTTCAGATTTCCGACGTCTGGGCGAAGCTGTCGCGAGACAGGCTATCGTCTGTGCAGGCGTCCATCGGCTCTCTCCAGGTACGTGGTCCCCCACAGCAGACCGCGACACGTTGGAGCACCACATGCACGCAGCAGCAGGGCGATGGCCAACAATTGTGTGTATCGTGGGTAGTTGGACTTGAATATTCTTACTTCCACAGACCTCAAAGCTTCGCGAAACAGTCGTATGTACTGATGTCGCTTCGGCTGGAAGCGAATGTAGCTGTTGCATATGGCGGGCCTCACAGATAATCAACCAGGATGAAGGTCGCCGTCTTAACTTTTTCGTTTTTTTTGTTACTTTAGGCGTTCAATTGTTGAGCTTAGAAGCTGGACCTCCCATACGGGCATAAAAACGCCTGCTACTGCTGCTGCTGCTTCTGCTGCTGCTGCTGCTGCTGCTGCTGAATCACAGAAAACGGTAATGAAAAGTCAACTCCACATCTAACCCGTACAGGCCGCAGGTGTGCTGACTCTCCCCCCATCGTCGGTGTCCGCAGGTAGATAACTTCCTCTCCGACGGCGTCTACCCGGTCCTCGTGAGCAGCAGGAAGGAAAAGGAATCTTCCTCTGACGGCGGCAAGTCTTCCTCTGACGGCGGCAAGGCTACCCAAACGCAGCAAGAGACGCCCTTCCTTCAGGTGTCGATCATCAAGGAGGTGAACCAGGCCACCAACACGGCCCATTACGACTACGTCGCCTTCCGGTAAGTGCGTACCGAGGAAGGAAGATGACGCTTTGAGGAACTGGGTATCCGTGGATTTTGGAGGGCAGCATGTGTTGGTTGAAGTTTTCCAGAGGCAGACTCCGCCACCCGCCAAGCGTGCGAGACGTATACTACGGGTGCCTCCCGATATAACAACAACAACAACAACAACAACAACAACAACAACAACAACAACAACAACAACAGGATGCTTGAGGTGGACATCATGGCGGATCGAGCGACCCTTCTGCACCTGCTGGTATGGTACAAGCCGGTGCAGGGGTACCTCTTAATGTGGCGGCAGCAGCTCGACAGCCACGCCTGGGTGGCGAAGCGCACGGCGGAGGTGCTGGAGAGGGGTATGAACGCCGTCCCCGGCGGTTTCGTGGACGTTGAGGAGGTGGGTGAGGTGGTGGTGGAGATTTCGGGGGTGCGCGCGGGTACTACCGCAGACATCTTCGTTGACGACGATTCGGGGTTGATGCTGGTATTGATGTCTTTTGGTCGCAACAGATTGGCTCGGCAGCCACGTGAATGCAAAATGTTTCGTTATCTGAAGGTTCGGCTTCGAGTACAAGTTGCTTGCGGTAGTGACGTCAGCGTCAGGGAGGATGGAATGCAATTATTGGCTACGCCGGCTGCCCCGCTTGGAATACGAAGTTCGCTCTGCAGGTTGTCTTAATCTACTTCCACGACCATCTCCGTCCCAGTCCGCCACCCCTACTCCCGGCCCACCTAGATGTTACATACTGCACGCTTAGGTTCCTCGTCGCCTGCCGTACGCCCGTTCCACAACCCCGCCACCCTCTTAGTTGGCGTCCTCTCTCTCTCTCTCTCTTTCTGTAACCCCCGCCGCTTTTCTCGCTACCCCTGTCTCTTCTCTTTTGGCGCTATCATATATTGTCGACCGGTAGGTTCGCCGCACCGCCCGCATCAAGCGGAAGTACTTCAAGACCATGCGGTTCCACCCCATCATTCTGCGACTCAGCTACGCGAGGAACCCCGCGTCCAATGTGGGTTCAATTTCACCCGTTATTTTTTGTTCTTGCCATCGCTGTGTCCAATCCACCACTCTGCTAGTTGCGCTCCAGTGTTTTGTGAAGTGGCGACGGTGGCGACGGACGAACGATAAAAGCTCCACTTTTCTGTTGGAGCTCCCTATCGGGACGATTCAGAACATTTCACAGCCCACGCAGAGACAGCTTTCTGGTCCGAAACTGAAAGTCTTCCCCGAGCAGCAGGTTTGTACTCCCCGTCCACAGAATCCACCCGAGCGAGGTTCTCAGCTCGAGCAATTTTTCCCATCTGTTCATGTGAAAGTGACAGCTATTTCGCGACAGATGAGCTGGCTTGCCATGACAGGTTGGACTTGGGTGTTTATTCTACCCCGCAACCCATCACGCGGGAGAGATCCCAATGCAGTACTAGCGGTAGGTTCGCGATCCAGCCAGGTACTGAACTACCCAACATGTCGCCGGCACGCTCGCAAATCTTTTTTACCTCTTCTCCCCGTGTCGCAGGCGCTCATGGAGGAAGCCGGGATGGCCATCATCAACAAGATCCCGAGCATGGTGAAGAGCAACGTGGATCTGGCGTCATACCTGGTGGAGGACGCCTTCGGCTCCGTCAGGGACATCTCCAAGAACGTCGTTTCGCACTACACCGTGGCTGGCAGCATGCAGGCAAATTTGTTGTCCACCGTTGCTCCTTCTCTATTGGGGTGCCCCCCCCCCGTCATCACGAACCCGTAGTCTTCGCGGCGGGGCTAATAGGTCTGGTACTGGTACTTGGTAGTTGGTTCTTGGCTTGCTGATTGAGGTTTGGGACTCTCGCCGCTGATGAGAAGATGTTTTGACCGACACTGTTGCCGACACTGTTGCCGTGGAGTGTTTTTTCTCCAACCGTACTTCAAATTCCAGCCTCGCTGCAGTGACTGGTTGTATTGAGAGTATTGAAGTTTCATCCCCCCACCTAAGCCATGACGCCGGCATGAAGAGGATGCGAAGACACGCCTTTGCGGCAAGGCAGAAGAGAGTCGAGTTGAAATCGTTGCAGAATGCAAACACCTTTGTATGAACAAGACGAGAGAGAAGTCCTAAAGGAAGAGATGGGCGAAAACGTGCGGATTGACAAGTGCGAAGTTTGTAGCACAGCAGTGCGGAAACAATCTCTATGCTAGGAAATATATCGTGCAGACAAGATGCCAAACAGAGGTGAGCCCCTATTGAAATGTGGAAGACACGTGGTCTATAGAGCGCCCGACTGGTGGAGGTGCATCTTGTAGGAATAGAAACTGACTACATGTCGTTCGAGATTCGTGAACAATGGTCACATGGCCGATCAAATGACTAAGGCACGCCACAAATGAGCGCCCCACCCCCAGCCACACTTCAAGACATGTCCGTACACACCGCGCTATTCAATCCCCCCGCCCGTGTGTATACACTACTTTAACGGGACTTGCACCTGTGGAACCGGCGCTTCAAAACTGTGATACTGCAACACGAAGGTGCTCAGCCTCGTGGGGTCCATGCGCGCCTTGGGCAGTCCGGCGGACCTGATCAGCAACGTCGGGGGCGGAGCTAAGGCTCTCGTGTACGCGCCGGCCCAGGGTCTGGTGCAAGGGCCAGGCGAATTCTTCGAGGGGGTTGGTCGCGGCGCCCAGAGTTTTGTCAAAGGTGATTCGGGACCGTCTGGTTGTTGTCGTTTGTTGAATATGGCAGGGAAGGGCCGACAAGAACGACGACTAAGCGCGAGGGGAAGTCGTGGTCTACGTTGTTATTTTGACGTTGTTTTCGGTGGTGTTGTGGTTGGGGTGGCAGTCCAACCTATTGTCGTCCGCCCCTGCCTCTTACCCCCACCCGCAATTTCTAGGCACCGTACACGGGGTTTTCAACTCCGTGGCAGGCGTCGGCGGGGCTGTAACTGACACCGTGTCCAAGCTCACCTTCGACGACGAGTACCAACTAAAGCGCGAGAGAGACAAGAACAAGGCTCTGGCCAACCAGGGCGGCGTCGGGCAAGGGCTTGTCCAGGTATGTTGTCGGCGGTGTTCTGCTCAAGTGGAGGCGTTTCGTGTGTCGAACTTTCGCTGCCCAAGCCAACAAAACATTACCCGTTCCTCAGCAGAGAGTTTCTCCGGCGCACATAACGCTAGTCGGAGGCTTGATACTGATCGTTGTAATGTGTTCCACCAGTCCTGTTCTTTGCTTCCTTCTTTGTGTTTTTTTAGTGCGGAGGCAAGCACATCGCCCCGGGGCGACGGAGGGAGGTGGAGTTGGACGGAGGTAGCCAAACCCGCCTCGGTTGCACGAGTTCAAAACAGTCTTATCTGTCATTGAAAGCTCAACCTAGGATCGGTCAGCTGGTTCAATGCCCACTCCCAATTTACCTTCGTTTTTTTGTCAATAGCTCGTTCATGATCGCTGAGCTAGTCGATGGCACTTTGTTTTCGCTGTATCGTTTGCTGCCGCTTCGCTGAAGGGGGGAAAGAATATTGCGGGGGGGTTCACTTCGGGAGTGTCTGGAGTCTTCACGGATCCCGTGCGTGGCGCAAAGAAGGGCGGCATGGGTGGATTTTTCAAGGGCGTGGGGAAGGGCCTGGCTGGTGCCGTGGTGAAGCCCGTCGTGGGAGTGACCGACTCGGTCATCTCGGTCGCACAGGTGTGTGGTTGTTTTTCTTGTTGCTGTTGATGTTGATGTTCCTTTGTTGGTGCTGGTGGTTTTGCTGATGATGGAGACATCGATATTTTTTGTTGTCGATGTTGATGTTGATGTCGTTGTCGTTGTCGTTGTTGATGATGATGATGATGATGTTCTTGTTGGCGGGAGTCTTTGGTGCTGTTGCTGTTGACGATGTTGGTGTCCTGTCGCGTCGCAGTCGTCGATATGCTACTAGTATCTCATGACAGGGTAGCCGGTAGTCCGTGCGCACGTTTGTAGTGATCGCTTATTTTCTCCACCTAACCCCTCTGTATTCCGTCTCTCTTCTTCCACTGCCCTTGCTGTACCCCCTCTCCCCCCGCCCGCTCGGGGTGGGAATAGGGCATCTCTAACGAAGCGGAGAACAGTCATCGGCAGGTCCACCTTCGTCCCCGTCGGGCCTTGACCAAAGACTCGGAAACAGGTCAGCTGGTTCTCATGGAATTCTCCATGGAAGCTGCCGAGGCGCAGGTGGGCGTTCTTTGTTGTAGCTGGTGATGGTGTTATCGCCGCCGCCGTCGTCGTAATCGTCGTTCTTGTTTGCGCTGGCCTCGTTGTGAAGGCCCTTGTTTCATGCTTTGTGTTGGGGAGTTGTCAACGTTCATTCAGAACACGCCTCGGAGCGGTTGGTTGGTTTCACGTCGCACGTTTTTGCCAGCTTCGCTCAGTGTCGCCTGTGTTCTATGGTGTGTTCATGTCGTGTGATTGGTTGGCTCTTGACTTTTGTCATGTGTGCGCCTGGGCCTTCATTCCCATGCATACACGTCCAATAGAAAGGGACATCTCTGTGGAATATATGTCGTAATCCTCATGTGTATGGAAGAGCCTGCTACGGCATGCATGGTACTCACCAGAGAGGTCGAACCACAAAGTGCATTTAGTGGTGTTACTCTGCATGCCGAGCCAAACCCGCGAGTTGCGTGCACCCGGAGCACCTTTCACAGCTGGGGCCAAAATGACAACCCAAACAACGATGTGAAATGCAGGCGCTGGTCGAGAGCGGGGTGGAGGGCAAGGGAAGCAGCAGCCGAGACAAGTACGAGTCTCACACCAGGGTTGGCGACCTCACCATCATCTTTGCGAACACCAGGATGATCATGGTCAAGAGGGCCAAGGTGAGATTGTCGGGTCAGGACGGAGATATATGCATGTGTGTGTGCGGCTATGTTTCTTAGCGTCGACCGCGCTCACGGGCTGACGAATCAAAGACGGCAGTCCCAGTGCAGGTGAAAACAGAAAGGGCTCGTATGAAGGCCATGATCTTCAGGTGGGTGTGTCTTTGTTTTAGTATTAGCATCGACCGCGCCAACCGACTGACCAATGAAAAGACAAGTCTCTCAGTCGGGCTACGAACGGAAAACCCTTCTACGGGCCATCATCCCGGACCCCGTGTGTCATGTACGTGTGTCTTTCCATGTCTCCCTCCCGTGGTTGTGTGCTCAACCCACTCCCCCCGGTTGGCAGCCCCATACACTGCATGCACGTCTCTTTCCATTACATGGATAGATTTGCCGCTTCGTCTTTTTCTGGCCTGCCTGGGGAGAGGAAGAGTACGGCCCGGTCGCGACGAGACGGATGCATGATTCGCTGGGCGTCGTGGCCCCTCTGAATTAGGCGTGTTTTCTGCCGTCGTTAATTAGTACATTCATGGGCCACTTTTTTCCCTCTTTCAAGCATTCGTCCTGAGAAGGTTAAGTTAAATTTGTTTCAGCGAGCGTAGGGTCTGTTCGGCGCTGGCCATTTATCTTCCCCTGTACTTTGACCAACCTCTTTATGAAACTCCTTCTCCCCCACCTTGACGCCCTGTCCCTGACCAGAACGACCACCTAGGCTTGGCGAAGATCGTGGACAAACCGGGCGCTGCCAAAGCCTCTCAGATGGTGCGTGAAAGAGAGAGCGAGAGAAAGCGAGCGAGAGAGCGAGATGATACATGCAAACGACATGAAGTGTGGTGCACGTCAGTTTTTTTTATTAGGAAACGTCTATCGCTCAACGTGACGCGGGACAACAATCGGTTAGCTTCTTCTACTCGTCATGTTTGGGATTCTTCCGGAGGGTAACGCAGTCTGAGGCATCACGACGAGAGACTTGGAGTCGCGGAGGATTTTGATCTCCGTCTTTTCGTTGTGCACGGCGTCTTGGACGACCCAAGCAAAGATTTACCCGGCGCGAATTTCGGGATAACCGTCTCCGCGCGAGAGCTCTTCGACCAAGACAGAGAAGGACCTATACCAACATTTTTTTTCATGTTTAGCACCGTTCGGATGTGCTGTGTGTTCTTCGAGTGGTTAGCAGGCCGACCAACTCTGCTTAGATGTCCTTTTTCGTTCTTTTCAAGTATTTATTGTGCTTGACAGATTGCGACTGTGTTTCCATCGCGTATGTGAATAAGCGTCGAACGAACTAATCAACGAACGAATGATCGAACCTCGATAGGTATCCAAGAGGTGGGAAGAAGTGGCATGCGTGGACGTCCAAGACGAGAGGATCGTCATCAGGCTTTACGAAGGCGGGGACATCTCGCTCAAGGCCACCGTGCGCTCCAACAGGTGAGTGATCAGCTTTGCCCGAAGTGTTTCCACGAATTGACAGGGAGAGTTGACTTGGCGTCTCTCGTTAACTCGTCATTGCGCCATCAGTGACAGGCCTCTCTTTCCAATGTGTTTATATTGTTCTCGGACGTTTACGGGTCAGCTTGTGAACGCACTGAGGTTTGTTACCCATGCCCGGAATCATCGGGAGGGATGTGGGGGTGGTATTAAAGAGAGGTCGGGACGGATTTAGCGTGGAACCAAGTGCTGGAAATTCCAAAGGTTACATTGAAGCTGGCGTTTTCATGGGGGGCTAGCTGACTCATGATACTGCCATCGTCAGAACACTCCGACGATTACAAAACCCCCCTGGTTGCTGTTGTTATGCGTCCTTCTCAATCACGGCGAGGCATGCTTAAACCTACTTACCCCTCGGTCGTGTCGTCGTCAAATCGTTGTATGGCCGTCCTCACGACCCGAAAAGGGAGGAGCTGTACCGGCAGTTCTACGTGCACCGCAACAAGATGGGAGACCCGACGGCCGTACGAACCCCCGAGGAAGTCTTCGGCACCGGCAGCGCAGGGGCTTCCGAAAGGGTCAGTCTGGTTTCGAGAGGCTTGGTTGGGGCTGAGCGGCGTAGGAGTCAAGGGTGGCTAAAGACTCTCGGGGTACACGCTGACAAGGGGCGGCTGTGTGGTGTTGTTTGCTGTGTAATTGCGGTCTTGGCGCAAAGTTCTGGCACAAGAAGTTTAAGAACGGTAGGCTGATGCTTTTTTCGGTCCGAAGATTGCACGACCTATTGCTATCGTTGTTGTCAGGGGGGTACGCGTATTCGGTTAGTGTCTGGGTCAGAGTATAGGTCGTTGCCGGTGTTGACTAGAGGCTATATACCGAAAGGTTGTCTTCATTTCCTGAAGACGCAGGCTTCGGGACACGTCGTGTGTTGTTCCTTTTTTTCGCTCGCTCGACGTTCGGTATTGCAATGCAAGTGCTTTTGTCGGAATGTAAGGTCCACGACGAACTCGTGTCATTGCAAGCAGACAGCTCGCGAGCGCCTCTTGGACTCCCGCGTGAATGACACTGACAACGACTAAATACCAAACGGCAGGCGGCACCAGTGGCGATGAGCATGAGGGCTCACAGCACGGCCGTTCAGGACTCCCTGAACGACTACACATTCGGAACTGCCAACGACCGGAAGATCCCGGGACACAAGCTCAGCGAGTCTCAGGTGGGCCAGCCAACTCATGACTCACCCCACTCGGTCAACGCAAAGAAAGCTAACAGCACAACTTTTTCTTGCATGTACCATACAAAGATGTAGCACGGAGTATACGCCACGGAGGCGTTCATTAAAACGGTTCCGAAAATTCGACCCTGGCATGTATTTTAAAAGGTTTATCAAGAACAAGCAAGAACGACGGGGTTCTGGGTGTTTGCTCCGTTAGTTGGGAAGAGGCATTTGCTTTTGCTGTTCAGGACGTGGTTCCATAAGGAAATTGGTCTTGCCTGTGGTAGCCGAGTCGAGCCGTTGGACTAAATAATTCATGGCGCCCGTTGTATCGCGTCGTTTATCATACCGGGATGTGTTGACGCCTTTGACGTGAGGCAGCTCCGTGCAGTGTAGAGGGACCGATGTTCTGGCCCAACAAAGCGAATCAAATTTCCTTCACGAGTGACGTTTTACTCACGGTACATTAAGGCACGTTCGCGGTACGTCATTTGGCTTCCGCAGCTGTACGCGGCAGTCGTTCCGACGCTTGCGTGGAACAAACCGCGGAACCACCAAAACAGGTCTTCATGTGGCTGATGCTTTCGCTCCCAACGACTCGCGTGGCGGATGTCCCTGTGTGTGTAGATCCTTAATCGGGCAGAGCGACAACTCCAGTCAGTCGGCGTCGGGAACTGGAACAACCTGGACGACATTGCCTGGGAACTCGTGCAAAACTGGTGAGAGCACGAAGACAGTATCGTCGTATGCATTATGCGACGATATAGTCTCATGCATGTCGCAGACAATTTTGAAGAACCCTATCCAGCGCCTCCATGTCGCCCCCGTAGTCCTTTCTGCCCCCACCTGCACCGATGGTTTCCGCGGTCACGTGAAGTGGAGCAAAATTAAGCTCATGGGAGAGGCACTCGCTAGCAAGCTTCACGCACCAGCGCCCCTTGTAGATAAGTCAATCCGGTACGGCGTAGTGAACAAAATGCACTGGGATAGGTCCATCATTTATACGGCCCTCGGAGACAAGACGGTGCCGCCCACGGGCTCTAGTACGGATTGACGTTCCTCGACTTGGGAGACAAAAGCGAACTCTATTTTCTTGCGCACACGGCAGCGAAACTCTCCGACCTACCTTTGCAATCGATACATGCGCTCCTTGCATGTTTCCTCTGCGGCGGCTGCTCTTCGCTCGCATACTATACGTGCCCCGTTCGTCTGTCCGTTCGTTCGCAGGGACAACTCCCACAATGGTCTGTGTGCTACTCGCTGCCTGTGCGTGGTTTTCATCAATGCCTCCGCGTCTACCGTGCAGTTCCGCGAAATGAGGTACGGCGGTCATCACTTCAGTGGACCCGTGCCAGCGTACTTGATGGTACCCTTGTTGACTTCTCTCAGCTTGGGTTTATTTTGTACGTTTCAGTTTGATGCTTCAGATAATGAAACCAAGATCAGTAGTTCCCAGCTGCAGCACGGTTTGGCTCTGTTTCATTTTTCTATTCTTGTGTGCAAGTATTTGTTTCATGTACTGGTACATTGTTTTCGTCGTTTGTTCGCCAGATTTCGCTGCGTTTTGGCACACCTCCATTGTTGCTGTTGTCCTCTGTTGCTTCCGAAAAGTGCGCGCTTCGTCATTTCACTCCAACCTCCTCCTGCTCTTGAGTTGTTTCGGCCGAAACACTTGATCTTGCCAAGGCTTGGTATCATGGACGTATGGAGGTTATATCTGTCCGGGTGATGTATGTATCAATCAGCATGTCTGGTTCGATTGTTTCTCCCCCTATGATCGAACTCTGAGCAACAGGCCGGCGGGAGAAAGACAGGAAATGAGTGCGTGAGGTGCTCGTCAACCAACGTGTTGGCTCCGTGCTCTCAATTCCTACTGTATTCTAACCCCAGACCGAGGATCATTTAATGTTTGTATTGATTGGATGCACCGGACTGTGGTCTCGCCCATCCGTCGTTGACGGTAATCTACCCTTGTCGCCCGCGCTCCAACCAAGAATGTACCGCATTGCGCGGGACCGTAGGAGTCGCTACCAGGACGCATGAACCAAGTTTGGGTGCGACCAAAGGCCTCCCCTATGCGATATTCTTTCATTGCCATCTTCAGCTTCCAGACAAATCCCAATCCTTTCCGCAGCGGGGGCTGGGATCGAGGTGTATCCTGGTATTGCATGATAGATCTCCTCAAGTATCATGACATCATCCTCCAGTCGGAGCACTCACTGCGTACTCCTGCATGGTGCCTCGGGAGGTCGGAGACTCAGGGGAGGCGGGGCCCAGAAGCCTTGCACGTGCAAATGGCCTCGTGGATCTTTCCTCGGACTGGAGGGAGGCACTCGCGGGCAGGCGGGTGGTGGAGGAGGCGCAAGCGCGGGAGCGTCGAGCGCAGAAAGGGAACGGCTAGTGGAGATGGCGAGGCAGGCCTAGTTGACGACCGGTTCATGGATCCTCTCCCAAGCGCCACAGTCGTCTAAAGCGCACCTCAGCCGAATATGGCGCTTTGTGAAGATCCTTGAGTCGGTCGTGAACGACGTCTGTCTCGCAATCTCCACCAGCCGTTCCCTTTCTGCGCTCGACGCTCCCGTGCTTGCGCTTCCTCCCGCCACTCGCCTGCCCACGTGCACCCCCCCCCCCCCCCCCCCCCCCCCCCCCCCCCCCCCCCCCCCCCCCCCCCCCCCCNTCTCCCGCTCAAGCAGTCGACCCTACTTGGGGCTGGCGCTCCGCCTCTCCTGAGTCTCCGACCTCCCGAGGCACCATGCTGGAGTACGTAGTGCTCCGACTGGAGAAGAATGTCATGATTTTTGAGGAGATCTATTATAGGATATACCACACCAGGGTTCGCTTCGCTTCCATAGCTCCCTCAAAGGCCGTTGAGGTACCGTACCAGCACGTGGTGTATTGTAGTAGCCTCCGTATTGGAAGCCTCCAGCACCGCAGGCTAAGAGCCCGCGCTGGGTGCCTTGGGAAAGGGGCAGGTCCTCGATCTGGACAGGGTCTTCAGGGACTCGAACCAAAGGTGCTCGATTCCCTATCACTAACAGCTAGGGAATCGAGCACGTTTGGTTGGAGCCCAGGAAGATCCGTTCCAGATCGGAGACCTTCCCCGTGCCCATGGCACCCGGAGCGAAGAAGGGCAGGGAGTCGGCTGGCGTGCCCGCGCCCACAAATCACGGCCGAGAGTCCCGATTCGGATTGAGCGGCGGGGGCTGGCTCGCGGGCGGCGCAGAACCCGCGGCGGGCGCTGCGGCGGCAGCCCCGGCTGGAGGCTTCTGCGACGACCGAGTCTAGGAAATACTCTCAAGATCATCGTGATTAATGCGACAAGTCATTGGTTTTTCGGAGCGAAAGAAGGGAGTGTCTAAGCCTCTTTGCGCATGCAAGCTCCAGGACATCCGATGAGATCCGTAGATCAATTAATTGGTACAAATTTGGAGCCATCCGGTCTGATCGAAATTTGTCTGGGGAACCAGGGATGAGTTGACCCGGCGCGGCGCCCGTTGTCAAACGCGGGATAGCGCAGACCCTTTGTTGTGCTTCACGCCCCCTCTCACCTCGCGCTTACACATGCCACCTCACTTTTTCTTCTCTGTCACGAACTCAGACCGATCGGAACAGATTTAGGAGGCCTACAACGGCACCATGGTTTTGTTTTGGTTCCCAATGGTAATCACCAGGATGAGCGTATCTACACGCACACACAGCCGCACGCAACACACCCTGAATAGACCAACCCTAGCGTGAAGATTGTCGCACGCTGGGATTGCGCTTTCTTCTATCAGGATGCCGCAAGTCGAAACGAGCACAGGGAACGGCATGGGCAAGCCCACCGCTTGATGATCGGGCATTTCTTTGGTCTTAACCCTTGCAATCTCCTATCATTTGGTTACCGTTTGGGGGCGGACTGACTCGCGCCTAACGCACGAGGCGTTTTCTCTTGCATTGTTTACTGCTGTGCGAACCGAACCGAGCAGGAAGCGGGACGGGCAAGGCTTCCGTCTGCTGAAGGGTTCCCTCTACAACGCCGACTCCCAGCAGCTCATGCCGGGGGGAGTCGCCATTCTGTTCGCCTGGGGACACTCCTCCAGTAACATCTTGAAGAAAGGTCGGTCACAGTGTTTGGCGTGTTTCGTGTGGTACCCTGAGGACTACCTTCGCACGTGTATGAAAACAGAACCATACTTGCAAGCGCTAGTCCAACGATGTACTCGACGGAGAGCGTTCGGGGGAAACTTTCGGCGCTCCTGCTGTAGCGCTTGGTCCGTCCTGGATAGATGCTACAAGCACGGCTGTGTGGTTAATTCTTTCATGGTTTCGTGGTGGCAATTCTCGAAAGCCCGGTGCGACGTCGTTTCCGTTGTTTTCCACACGCTGTCGTTGTTGATGAGGTAAATATCCGTGTCATACCGGAAGCTTGTGAGGTGTATCTTCTCGTCTCATGTATTCATAGCTTCACTTTCCTTTTGCCGAGGGTTTCTACCTCAAGATGAATGGTAGCTGCTGTGGTGGCCTCATGACTATTAGCACTGGAATATTCTTGCTTTTTATCGCGCGAGTCTCTTTGCTGTGGAGTTATTGACACCGTTGTGGAACACTTCATGCAAGTAGTGAATTGGATTAGGCCTCCTGCCCCCAAAGCAGTGGTTCTCATCCCTGGATATACATGATAACCATTGCGTGACACGTTCACTACGTGGCCACATACCAAGACGAATGATCACTGTGGCGGAAGTATCGACTCACGGTAACCTTTTTCTGTTGCTGCGGTTATGCGGGCGGGACCGCCTCGTGCGTTCCTGTCGTCTCCGTTGTTCTGGGTTGTCTTTGTTGTCCGAAGCGATGAGTGCCAATGGGCACACGTATGTCAAGCTTGGGAGGCTACCACTTGTACCGGTGATATCTGTGTGGTTTGTTCCGGTCTGGAATGTACCACTTTTTTGGCTCAGTGTTGTCTCTCTGGTGTGCGCTCGAAAAGCAGGATACGTGGTGATGGCGGCGGAGACGACAGCGTTCTCGGGCGTGTTTGCCGTGCAGCGGGAGAAGGTGACGATGCTGTCCAAGGGCGGCTTCCAGGCCGGCTTCCTGGAGAAGACTATGCAAGAGTGGTGGAGCAAGCAGGTCGTCGTCATCAAATAAAGGGATCGAGAGACTTCCCGGAGGAGAGCAAGTTTGATTTTTTGTTTGTGTGCGTGTTGGGTGTGGGAAGGGAGTAAAACTCTCGGGAGCTGTGAAGCGCGCGCCGGTCGCGGTGGCCGCTGTTTTGTGATTGATCTTGAAAACCCTACACGTATACTAATGAAGTTGAAACGTGGCGGTGAGAGGATGCAAAACGTTGCCAACCAGCGGCGACGCATGCAGCTTCCTTCCAGGAGGCACAAGTTCCACTTGTCGTTTTTTGCCTGCACAAGCTGACCTGACGTTGAGGGGCGGGGAGCAAAGTCGGGTCGTGCGGATCGAAAACGACCGTTTTTGTCGAAATCATTCGGTGTTTTTGTCGCAAGGGTTTGATACGAGGGTGAAGTCCGGTGTACGGATTGTTGCGGAAAACGATTGCGAAAAATGATTAGTCGCTTGGTTTTGGTTGCTCGCTTGTCTTCTCCGCTTCAGCGATAAATGTTGTGTATGGTACGTGAACGTGAAAGGTCGTACAGCCGACAGCACCGCAAGAAGTGGAAGAACTTTGATGTTGTGTATAGGAATGTGGAGTGCTCGCGCGTGGTGTGTGAATTTTTTTCCAGGAAGTTCCCTGGTACTCTGGAAAAATTTCGCGGCATGTTTACCCGTGGGGGCACACCTGAAGCCAGGCCACAACCATTCTCACGTCATGTTAACTAGCTTGTTCGGAGCGTAGAGACCATGGCCTTATGCACAACGAAAAAGAGGCCTCAACTAGTTGTTGTAACGGGTGCTTGTCTGATCCCCCGGTCGGAGCTCCAGACTACGCGAATTGCTTTCCCAAATCCCGGCGGCCCGAGCAGATATCCCACCGATCGTCTGACGTTATTATCCCCCTTCACACCTGCCATGAGTGTCAGCTTCGTTGCTGCTCGGTAAGGTTTGCTTGCGGGTGTTGGCTCAGAGCACAAAATTCTACAATCCTTAGAACAACTAAATCCCCGCGGCGCGAGCAGTCATCATCCCGTTGACCATATCACGTGGCTGTTCACGCCCTCGGTGAGTCTCAGTGTGGGTCGTACTTGGCGCAGTGCAACGCGCAGATCTGTGAGGAGGGCATGTTGGTAAAGTTTCAAACTTTCAGGTACCCCGCACGAAATCCCGCGAGTCCCGAACAGTGACGTACTTGAGATCCACAGCAGTATGTAGGTCGAATGGAGCTGTTTGGCCACGATATACCCCTGACGGCCCGGGGGAGCCGTGCCTACACTTCCGCGAATTCCATGCAAGTAATTTCCATGCAAGTAATGTCTCCGCCAAGTCTTATCATCTTGCTACCGCCCAATTGTGCAACCTTGAATGAACTCAGTTCATGTGCGTGCGCAGCTTTACTCAATGAAAAGAGTAATCGCTAGAGCCGCAATACCTCGAAACGCAAATTCTAGGCGACGCCACGAGTTTTGTATTGTGAACACGAAGACGTCTGGAGGTAGCGTTGACAACCGCATAAAACTCCCCTGCCTCTGCCTCCCATCTTGTCAACCTGAGCGCAATATGTACAACACTCCACCAAAGCATTTTACTCGTCGGGGGTAGGGTCGCCGCCTTCCCCATCCTCGCCCTCCCCTGCCTCCTCCCTCTCCAAGGCTTCCTGGGCGGCTCTAATCGCAGCCTCTTCTTCCTCCACCTTCCGTCGGGCCTCCTCCGCCTCCGCCAACGCTTCGGCCTATTGTTGCAACCGTTATCGTCGCATTGAGGCGGGTGAGTTGTACATTGGTTAGAAATTGGACACCAGCGACACGGGGGGGGGTAGTTTACATTATTCGTGAGAAAAAACACGAATTGGGACGCCTTCAGCTTACCACTATCCTGGTCCTCTCCGCTTGCTTCGCTTCCACCGCCTCTCTGTGGATCCTGCTAGCATGCGCAGTAGCCCCAGATAAGAGCCCTGAGCATCAGCGGACGCGGGTAGGTTTATGAACAGGGGAACTAAATAGGAGCATCGCCGGAAGTTTGTTAATGAGTGTAGACGGCAGTTTGGTACGAATGACGACAACGAACTACGTACCTGAGGTCGAAGCATACATTAGTACGATCAAGTGTCCAACAATATTGCCTGAAATATGCGTCTAGGACGATCAACATTTTCGGCTTGTCTAGGCTGCTTCGATAAGAATACTCTCACCGTCAACGACTGCCATACTCTCCACCGCCTTGTCGACCTTCCGCACCATGTCACCCATCAGCCACGGCAAAAACACCTCCTTGACCTCCTTCGAGAGCGGGTCGTAGAAGTGACCCTCGTCCTCGAGGTCGTCGAACACCTAGGATTCAGCAAAGGGAAGCAATCGACACAATTCGTGCTCTCAAGCGTGCAGGCGGGAAAAAAATGGCAGTGATTAATTATGTCCTTGTACATTTTGAGCGGTTGCGGTTTTCCAATAGACGCCAGCTTCTAGCACGGACGCTGTGGTTTTGAAGCTATGTAGACAAAGCGCAGTCAGTCTCGAACAATGGTCGTTGAAAACGCCCGCGAAGAGGCATCCTCACGATTCTTTGAACGGGCAATGGGATGGACATGTGCATACGTCAATCTGTTCATCCGACAACTGAGATTGAGTTTCTCTCTGGAAAGGTACAGCAGGCTATCATGCCTCAACATGAAACAGGTTTCTTGCTGTCGCCTTTCCACAGGAAAGAAAGCACCTTGGAAAATAGTCCTGCTACGAAGAAAAGGGTTGGAGTCTGGTTGGTCAATGGGTGGCACTTACATCGGTCTTCAAACTGGACAGGTAGTTCTTGGTGAAGCTGCGCGCGGCCACCTTCTCGAGTAAGGCCTCTCGTGCCTTCTTAACCTCCTGCTGCTGCTTCATGCGTCGCATCCTGTGCAAACACGGTAGGCAGTGTGTTTTGTTTGCAATAGCTCACCCCTAGATGTCAACAAAGCTATCACAATGGTGCTGCCATGACCCTACCCTACCGCCTCATTCTCTGTCAAAGCACATAGACTAACGCGTTGTGTAGGCGGATATTTTTTTTTGACTGCCTTTCATTTTTGACCAAGGTTTCCGGGAGCAAGGGATAATCCGAGCGTTTCAAGCGCGCACAGGCTGCAGAAGGACAACTTTGAGACTATTCAATGATGCATCCACTGCACCAGCCACCGACAAATATCCTGCTTTTGTAGCGCCCCTGTAGGTGTAGACCTCACTAATAGGGTCTTTGTGGGTGATCTTTCGGCATTAGTCTCCACCAGGCACATACACCTCCAGGAAAAGACACCAAGACAACGGCATGCCACAGGTACTCTAGCGGTGGGTCACTCACTTTTCTGCAGACTTTCTCTTCGCCTCGGCCTCCATGCGCTGCACCTCCGCCATCTCCGCGTCCCTCTCGCGGGCAAATGTTGCCTGCCGTCTTCGGATGACGGCCAGCTCTTCCTCCTGCGGTATCAATCAAGTGCAACAAACAGGAAAACATATGACAACGGACAATTGAACCAGACGCAACACATACTGACCTACCTTTCGTTCGTACGAGCAGTAGATTTCGACGAAGAGAAGTCATTTGAGAGAGTAAATTGCTTTGTGCAGTTCTACAACATGTCATTTTTGTGACTGCCACATGGACAACGTGAATGATAAATCCTTGCACGCGAGACACGCCTCAGCACTGAGAATATCTTGTCGTTCAGACAACGCACCATCCCCCTCGCTTGTTCGGCGTCGTATGGTAAGCTCACCTAACAACCAACGCTGGCGCCGAAGAACTTTAGCAAGAGAGCTGTACAAATCAACACCGGTAAGACAAAAACCAACCCACTTGCCTCCATGAGCTCGAGGACGCTTAGCTCAAGGGTTTTCCCGACTAATACTTCCAGAATTGGCTCCACCTGGAACGAAAAGACATCGAGAGGGGGTGTTGAAAGCACGAAGTGTGTGACAGAACCAAGCGAGAGACGGGCAACAAGATGGGTCGGAACCAAACAATGTAGACAGGAAACAACGTGGACATGAACTTGACACAAACAAACCATTCCTCGACTTGCTTGAATGGCAACATAGAAACCAAGCCGCTGACAACAAGCTTACGATGAATCTCCGGTATTAATCAAGTGATATCGTGCTCGCAATGAGGGCTTGCTCGCTCCCGAAGGGGTTCACGAACGTAGTGTCACACGCTTGGGAACATTGAGACAATCGATACAAGCCGATGAAGGCCAAACCCATGCCCGTACGGGGGAAGCATGGTTCTCAGCACGAGGTAGTATGCGTTGGCGTTCAATACCTCTAGATCGAAGTCGAACAGCTCGCCAACAACGACCTGAGTGTCGGCATCGACCCCGCTTTTCGCCGGCACGAACAGGGGAGATGAAGGGCGATCCATAAAAGCCTCCGTTTGAGTTTCAATTGATGTCTCCACCGGCCTGTCGACATGATGATCAGTTGAGTTGTTGCTTGGTATTGATACTGTTTGTTTTGGTACAACCCAAAAAGCTGCTGGCGCCAATAAATCAAATTCAAGAGTAAGCCTTGCAATGAATCTTGGTTGGTGGTAAGTAGCGGATATGCCCCCCTTTTCGTATTGCTAAGCCTCCTGTCACCTGTCCGTTAGCTCTTCGAGAAACTCTTCTGTCTGGGCGTCCATATGCATGCGCCCTTCCACCGGCGGCGGGGTCCGCGGCATGTTGGAGAACTCCGCAGCCTGAAGTTTTGGAGCGAAACCCGCCACTGTCAGTGGTAGGCTACCTACAACCCGGTACGTGCACACCCCGGCAATGGTGCTGCAGTTGTTTCAATACGCCGCAGAGCAGACTGTTTCTAGGGTTGTTCATGTCACAAACATGACGACGGCGATATCGGACCGACCCACAACTACAACGTGTTGAGAAGCAGGCTCAAATTCTCCCGAAATATAAAGTTGTAGTGAAGAAACACATAACAGGGGTGGATCCCAGACAGTGTAAGATATTCCATGCTCGACACCTCGATCCCAAATTGCAGTGTCTTATGGTGGGCCTTACTGCACAAGCAGATTTTTTCATTCTCCAGAAAAGGAAGGTAGACTCTGTTGCAAGTAGCTGGTGCACGGTGTTATCACAAGAAATACATAGTGCATGGGAAAGAAGGGTGTCTTGTTGTAAACTGGTACGAGCTCTGAACGATTTTTCTTGGAGTAGGGGGGAAACATCGGTACATTGGCTTCACCTGACGGCGCCGTAGCGCTTCCAAACGCATCCTCCTCTCGTGCTCTTGCCTAAGTCGGAGCGACTCTCGCTGAGCGCTCTGGGTTACCACCTGTGCCGCATACGTGTTGCCCCTCACGACTCTGCGGTCGTACATAATGTTGTTCGACGCGAGCAGCTGCGCATGAGGAGGGGGACGGGGGGAGGGAGGTGGTACCGAAGGGGAAGGAGCGACCCGACCCGTAAGATACGATACTGATCTCGGCGCTTCATCGCGTCTGTCACCTTCCGTCAATGACCGTCTCGAGTATGAACTCATTCAACGTTGGGCGGTAATGCTGCACAAGTCTATCGGTCGTGAACTTGTCGAATGAATGGATAAATCATGAGACTTGCCATAGAAAGTAAATCGAGGTCGAGGTCCAGTGAACGATCTTTGCACTTTGAATCAGAGTGTAGGTGCTCAGTCAGTGGTGTCTAATTATGTATTTATTACACACGTAACATTTTCCACTAGAGAAGCTCGCCGATACACAGTAGGCACGTCGTTATCCAATTCTAACCAACCACGTCCGTTGAAGGTGAACACCTTGCTGGTCAACAACAGCAGCAGTGTACACAATATGCACTCGATCTTCACTGTAAACAAATCAACATCCTTTGACGACGATATTCTAGAGTAGATGACGTGCGACTTCAATCTTCTGCACTGTATGGGCATAGTCTGCACTACTTTTGTCAAGGAAGTGATGTAGGCGAGAGTATATCACAACCGCCATTTCCTTCACTCTATGCAATGACTTTCCTTAGGTACACTCACGTCATTCTCGTCTATCCACTGGGCCGCATCAGGGGCTGTAGCAGCATCTTCTCGGTATTTCGACCGAATGGTGCTACGCTTTGATGGCACGGCCTGAGGCTCCGAGGAGTAAGTGAAGGCAGTCTGGGACCCCCCTGCTGCCGCCGGAGGCGCGGCCACCATTGCCATATGGTGGTACAGCTGCGAACGTGAGCACAAACGACAACCTCTCCTTTGCGATTGTTTGGTGCTTGTCGAAAATTCCAGCAATCACACGGATTCTCTAACGGGAATGAAATGTGTCTCTATCTCTATGTGCGAGGTGCTAGGCAGGTCTGCTTTTTGGCCCTCTCAGCGCGAGCGCGACGTCGAGATCTTTGTGTCGCTTCGTTTCGAAGTTGTTGTAGGGGTTTCATTCTACGCGGCAGTTGCGCCGCATGCGGCCCAACTTCAGGTGCTGTAGCCTGTATGTGATACTTGGTCTTCGGGTTCTGTTGATGACCCAATCAACAAATCCAATGCAGAGCGATGTGGCTCTACACTAACGGTTCTTGTGCTAGGTTCGAGGTTCTTGTCAGTGGGTTGCTCTATGTCTCGGACGGTTGTCGCCGAAGATGCTAGATCAAAGACTCAAAGACCGAGGATAATGGATGATGCTTTGAAGAGGAAACTTTGTCGTTGGTTCTGCTCGCTGCTGCACTCAACTCAAGTCGGTCAACACTGCTGCTGCTCGACCGTACTTCTGCACTCACTTGCTGGAACCAACCACCGCTTCGAACTCTGTCAACGTACTGGTAACCGGACACTCAAGCTCGCCTTCTGCTCCTTGCCCTGGTAGA